CACCACCACCCATTTTAGGTCCCCAATGCAAGCTGCTTCCCGCCCCCCCCCCCCCCCAATTTATGGGGCTGTGGCAGCCTAAAAGAGGTTCGGAACGGGAATGTGTGTGTGTGAATGTATGGGTGCCTGTGCGTGGGTGGGTGGCATTCGGCATCTGAGAAAGGGGGATTCCAAGTGCAGATAAGAAGAGGGGGGTGCTGGAAAGGTCTGATGAGCCGGGGGGGTGCGGTGTGTGTGTGTGGGGTATCTCTGAGCATGCACGTACCCATTTGCACTCCCGCTGGTCTTCACTGCGGTACACCCTTCCCACCCCTCAGGCATGCTGGGGGGGGGGGGGGGCGGCTCCGGGCGTGAGTTAGAGGAATGAGAGGAAAGGCTGTGCGCCGCGCCCTGGAGAGCCCTCCCACCCCGCGCCCGCCGGGTCCTTCCGCCGGTGCCTCAGTTTCCCTGCCCGAACCCGTCAGTTAAGATGTATCTCTCTCTTGCAGGGATTGGCTTCGCCGCTGAGCCCTCGGGCCTCTTCCAGCCATCCCCCTCCTCCTCCCGCAAACCCCTAGCCTTCCCGGGCAGGCCCCACGCGCGCCCCCGCCCCGGCCGCCGCGGCGATGCTGCACACGGAGGGCCACGCTCTGCTGCGGGCCGTGGGGCAGGGCAAGCTGCGCCTGGCCCGCCTGCTCCTGGAGGGCGGCGCCTACGTGAACGAGGGCGACGCCCAGGGGGAGACGGCGCTGATGGCGGCCTGCCGGGCCCGCTACGACGACCCCCAGAGCCGGGCGCGCATGGTGCGCTACCTGCTGGAGCACGGCGCCGACCCCAACATCGCCGACCGCCTGGGGCGCACGGCGCTCATGCACGCCTGCGCGGGGGGCGGCGGCGCCGCGGTGGCCGCGCTGCTGCTGGCCCACGGCGCCGACCCCTCCGTCCGCGACCACGCGGGCGCCTCGGCGCTGGTGCACGCGCTGGACCGCGGCGACCGCGAGACGCTGGCCACGCTGCTGGACGCCTGCAAGGCCAAGGGCACGGAGGTCATCATCATCACCACCGACACGTCGCCCTCGGGCACCAAGAAGACCCGGCAGTATCTCAACTCGCCGCCGTCCCCGGGCGTGGAGGACCCGGCCCCCGCCGCGCCCAGCCCGGGGGCCTGCACGTCGCCGTCGGACATCCAGCTGCAGGCCGCCGGGGGGGCGCGCGGGCTGCCGTCGCCCCGCACGCAGGAGGAGGAAGAGAAGCGGGACGTGTTCGAATTCCCGCTCCCCAAGCCCCCCGAGGACCCTTCCCCGTCCGAGCAGCTGCCGAAGCCGCCCCGCCACCCGCCCAAGCCGCTCAAGAGGCTCAACTCCGAGCCCTGGGGCCTGGTGGCCCCGCAGCCGGCCCCGCCCGCCGACGGGAGGCTGGGCATGGAGCGCCTGGCCGCCGACTTCAACGGCCTGGCGCTGGGCGGCCGGCCGCGGCTCTCCCGGCGGCACAGCACCGAGGGCGCCGAGGGCCCGCCCCCGTGGGCGGAGAGAGCGGCGGGCGGCGGCGCCCTCTCCCGGCGGAACACCGCGCCCGACGCGCCGGACGCCGGCCCCGCCTCCGGGCTGCGGCACAAACTGAGCCGCATGGAGCAGCCGCTGGAGCTCGACTTCCCCGACCCGCCCGAGGCCGGCCGCCCGGCGCTGGAGCGGCGCCGCTACAGCGCGTCCCCGCTGCCGCTGCCGCCGGCCGGCTCGGCGCCGTCCCCGCGCCAGTCCCAGGAGAGCCTGCCCGGGGCCGTGTCCCCGCTGAGCGGGCGCCGGCGGAGCCCGGGGCTGCTGGAGCGCAGGGGCTCGGGCACGCTGCTCTTGGACCACATCTCGCAGACGCGGCCCGGCTTCCTGCCGCCGCTCAACGTCAACCCGCACCCGCCCATCCCCGACATCCGCCCGCAGCCCGGAGGCCGCGCGCCGTCGCTGCCCGCCCCTCCCCAGGCGGGGGCGCCGGGCTCTCCCAGGACCAAGCGCAAGCTGGTGAGGCGCCACTCCATGCAGAACGAGCAGATCCGCCTGCTCGGGGGCTTCCAGAGTCTGGGCGGGCCCGGGGAGCCGGGGCGCTGAGCGCGGGGACAGGGCGGGATCAGGACAGAGGGAGAACCAGCTCTTTCTCACACACAGACACACACACACACACACACACACCAGACAGGGGGTCTTTCGCATGTGCTCCTGGGCACGGTGCACGCACACATGGGCAGCCGTGTCCGCAAGCACAGTGACTCTTGTTGGCAGGGAAGGGTAAGTCCTCTTCGCTGGACACACAGACACACGCATCCGTGCCCTGGTTGTCACTTCACATGCTTATGAGAAGTTCCCACAAGCCAGGTGCCCAGGCCACTTGGGCTAGGGGCCCCAGATGGGTCCCCACGTCACTGGCATTGCCAGCCCATGGTACCCCCACTGATAGGTAGTCTCTGGCCTCGGTCCTCCCGCAGAAGCAGCCCCCTGCTTTCCGTGTGTGCCCTGAAACACAGCCCTCTCATGACTTTGCACACTGTCTGCCCTCTTTGCGACCATGCCACTCCGTCCGTCCGTCCGTCCGTCCTGCAGGTCTGGCTTCTCTCTCTAGGCCTGGTCCCTGACCACACCCCGCTCCCCGTCCTGGCCATCTGTCAGGGTGTCTTCTTTGCTGGGGGGTTTCCCCGCAGCAATCCCAGCCTCCATTCTGCTGCTGCCCCTCCTGCTCTCAGCTGTACTTCTCTACTTCCTGCTTTTTATTCCCACCCGGCTCCCCCCGCCAGTGCCATACCACTCGCCGCCTCATTTCCCCAGGGCGGGCCATGGGCTCTCACTGCTCTTCTGTCTGAGCTTATGAACACTCGGCGAGTAGAAGTGGGGAGCCCCCCAAAATCACTCCTCTCACTACTCAACATATTGAATAAATGTGTTCAGAAGTCTCTGTTTTGTCTCTTCGGCCTAGGGGCGAGTTTCGGGGATGAGGAATGTGGAGGGCGGGGGATGCTAAATATTCTACAATGATCTAGGGATACTTAGACCTTCCTCCTAGGGGTCCAACTGACCAGCTGTGGTCGTAGGAGGAAAGGGGAGTGCCCTGTGTCCTCCAGGGCTGAAGGCATCAGGCATGCTTCCATTTCCCCGTCTCCTCTTGGTCCATCCTCAGCGTCTTTAATGGAAGAATCCTACAGAGAGCTCCTCCCTCCACCACCAGCAGACACATCCAGGAGATTAACTTCCCCTTTTCAAGAATCTTAGTTGTTGACCACTCACAGCTTTTCCTCTGGGGGCTAACTTTCATCTCACCAGGTGCATTTCATTCATCTCGGTTCTATTTCCCCATCCTTGATTTCAGGAAAGGGAGGGAGGGAAAAAGAGAGAGAGAGAGAGAATGCTCAAAAGGATCCAGACTGATTGACAGATTCTATGAACAAGGGCATGTGTCTTAATCTGCTCTCTGGGCCTCTCAGTTTGCTAGTTTTCTGCGTATGTTCTAACACGCCCTCGGTCCAATAGGAGGTGAGGGAGTGGCCCATTCTTACTCCCCCAACTTAGACTATGTGAAAACAGAAAATTACCCCACCATGTGGTATAATGAAAAGGTAAAAATATTGGGAGTCAGAAGACTTATGTCTGAGCCCCCCCCCCCCCCTCCTTGCCACGTTCTAGCTACTTAGTTTGGGCAATTTAGTCTCGCTGAACGTGTTTCCTTATTCATAAAACAATACAATCTAGTTAGTGATTGTGATGATCAAATAAAACAACGCACTAAGTCCACTGCGTCGTGTCTGACATATAGTAAATAATTTCCTCGTTACATGTCAGCATCCTCCCTTGCTTTTTTAGCTCCTCCCTCCATTGCTTGTGATGTTGGCAAAGTCACATCAATCACTTCTCTGAGCCAGTTTCCCCATCTACATCTATAAACTAGGCCAATGGCCTCGAAGCATCCTGTCACCCCGTCCATGGTTCTTCCCGGCCTGACCCCGCCCCCGCCCCCCAAGCCTGGCCCGGGGTCCGGGCGGCTTCTCAGTTCTCCCGCAGACGCCCAGAGCTCGGGGGCGCTCCCGTAGAGGCGTCCGCCTTCTCCCTTTGCCATTGGCTGCTCGTAACCTCCACCTCCTCAGCAATGGGCCAATGGCGGGGCCGGAGCCCGCCAGCTCCCGCCCCTCGCCGGTGATTGGCATAGGGCCTGGCTGGTCCCCGCCCCCACTTGACGGACGGACGGGCCTGGCACCGCCCTCAGTGCCGGGCGCTCGCTGGCCGGGCTGCTGGGACCGTTAGCTCGCCAGGCTGGCAGGCTCGGGCCGCGGCTCCCGGGGCGGCGGGGATGGAGACGATGCGAGCGCAGCGTCTGCAGCCGGGAGTGGGCACCACCGGGAGGGGCACCTTGCGAGCGCTGCGCCCCGGGGTGACCGGGGCTGCGGCCGCCCCCGCCACCCCCGCAGTGGGCTCCCCGCCGGCCCCACCGCCCCCCGCACCGCCCCCGCCGCCGCTGCTCCTGTCCGGGGCCCCCGGGCTGCCACTGCCCCCCGGCGCCGCGGGCAGCCCGGCGGTGCTGCGGGAGGCAGTGGAGGCCGTGGTGAGGAGCTTTGCCAAGCACACGCAGGGCTATGGCCGAGGTGAGTCTGCGGGTCTGGCCTCCTGCGGGACACCCTCTGCACGGGAGCCTCGCTCCCACAGTCCTCTGGATCGCTTTCCTGGCGGCCAGCCTCACATGCATTTCCTTTTGGGGAGTTTCCTTCTGCGCTGCACGCTCACACACACACACACACACACACACACACACACACACACACACACACACACACACACACACACACACACACACTCTCACACACCCCTCCCCTTCACTGAGTTACCACTATATTCCCTTATACAGATAAAACCCTCTTTTCTTCCCAACCTTTCCTCCTTCCCAAAGGGAATTCCTTCTGTAGCTGAATGCCTTCCCAGCGCTCTGCCTTGGAGGACCGGTCCCCATTGTGTGGGATCCCACCCTTTATCTCAGATCCAAGGGTCTCTCACCCATAGGCTCCCGGCCTTTCCTCTGCGACCCCAGCCATTCCTGGGCTCCCTGGGAATTGACTCCATCGCCTCGACGTCTTCGTTCTCTTCCTATTGTCACTCAGACATTTCCAGTGCAACTTCGGATTTGCTGGGAGCTCCGCGGTGCCTTCACGAGTTGCCTACAGCAGCTGTGCTTTTAGATCTGGGGCCAGCCCACGGAGCTCCCGCCAGCTTTCTGGGGCTCAGTACCCCGCTTCCGTGTCTTTTTTAGTACGAGGCCTCTCCACTCCGGCCTATCTGTCTGGCTCTGTTTTCCTGGCTTTTGCCCAAGAACTCAGGATGAATCCTAGGTCTTGGCTCTTTCCGTGGTACGTTCTGTGGAAGCGAGCCAGGCAGAAACCCGATTTCCATTAGAAATCTTCGTCTTAAAGATGCCTGATTTCCAGGGCTCCCGAGAAGGGGGATGTGAAGGTTCTCTTTGTGTGGTGGTTAGCCAGTGCGGAACTTCCTGAGAGCGAGCTCCAGATTGCTCATGGAGCGAGGACTGTAGAGTGAGGGTGTGGGACACAGGACTTAGGTCTGGAATCTCTGAGACATCGCTTTTCGCTGTCTGGTCAGTCCTGTCGGACATGGAGTGACTAAATCTGTAACTTTCTAGTTTAATAATAACGCAGAGAGAGAGAGAGAGAGAGAGAGAGAGAGAGAGAGAGCAGGGCTTGCTCTATGGACAAGAATGAGGTGGTGTTTTTCCCTAAGACAGCGTAATGAAAAGAGCACATACATGGTGTGGAGTCAGACTAACCTGGATTAGACCCCAGATTAAATCTCTGCCACTTGCCTCTACGTCTTTGGGGAAGTGACTTCACCTCACTGAGCTCCCGCTTCCTCCAGGGTTGATTGTGTGGGTTCAATGAGAGACTGCTCCTCACACACGGTACTTAAAAGTGATGTGTTATCTCAAACCTTCCTGGCTCCTATTTCCTTGGGAAGGACACATGTCATTCTCTCCCACTCTTAAACCCTGACCGTGCAGCCCGACCAGCGGGCAGCCCGACCAGCGTGGCTCAGTGGTTGAGCACCAAGCTGTGAACCAGGAGGTCATGGTTCACTTCCGGTCAGCACATGCGCAGAAAGTACTCTCTCTCATCCCTGATGTTTCTGTCTGTCTCCCACCCCCTTCCTCTTTGAAATCCATAGAAGAGTAGTTTTAAGAAAACGAAATCCAAGCCGAAACCGGTTTGGCTCAATGGATAGAGCGTCAGCTTGGGGACTGAAGGGTCCTGGGTTCGATTCCGGTCAAGGGCATGTACCTTGGTTGTGGGCATATCCCCAGTAGGGGGTGTGCAGGAGGCAGCTGATCGATGACTCTCTCATCGATGTTTCTAACTCTCTATCTCTCTCCCTTCCTCTCTGTACAAAATCAATAAAATATGTTAAAAAAAAGAAAAAAGGAAACGAAATTCTGACAGGGTATATCTAAAGATTCCTAGGGCCGAGACTGGTTTGGCTCAATGGATAGAGCGTCGGCTTGGGGACTGAAAGGTCCCGGGTTTGATTCCAGTCAAGGGCATGTACCTTGGTTGTGGGCATATCCCCAGTAGGGGGTGTGCAGGAGGCAGCTGATCGATGACTCTCTCTCATCGATGTTTCTAACTCTGTATCCCTCTCTCTTCCTCTCTGTAAAAAATCAATACAATATATTTTTTAAAAAAAGATTCCTAGGAAAACAGATTCTTAAATCCACTTTGTTGTTGTTTTTTTAATATATTTTATTGATTTGTTACAGAGAGGAAGAGAGAGGGATAAAGAGTTAGAAACATTGATGAGAGAGAATCATCGATCAGTTGCCTCTTGTACACCCCCCACTGGGGATGTGCCCGCAACCAAGGTACATGCCCTTGACCGGAATCGAACCTGGGACCTTTCAGTCCACAGGCCGACGCTCTATCCACTGAGCCAAACCAGTTTTGGCAAATCCACTTTGTTATGTGTGCCTAATGTTATGTTTCCATTTGTTCTCCAACATCATCAGTGTCCACCGTGGAGCAGGCACTCTGCTGGGTGCTGGGAATACAGATGCATATAGCTCTGAAACTCATCAGGAGGGCATGCAGCTGCTTTTCTAGCTTAACTCCTACGTGTAGCAGGCCTACGTGATGGGACTGCCACCAGCTCCTGTCCTGCTGCTTCCGGTCCCTGCGATGAGACCCAGGGAGGGTCTACCCCGAGCTCAGGAGCAGCCAGGCCCCTCACTCTCACTCTCAGGCATCCTCTTGGAAACTTACAGGCGATCACTAACATGGCAGAGGCGTGCATCCTTCTTGTCTGTGCTACCTGGGAGCCTTTGGTTTGGCTTCACCGGGTGTCCTGTAAAAACCTTCCCTTTCCTTAGGAAGGCTGCGGGACCGAGGGGACGGGGCTGACAAAGAGCAGTCAGGCAGGCTTCGGTCCTGCAGCAATTCTCTCCCCCAGCCTTTCTGCCTCCCACCACACTCCTCATTATTCCTGAGTTTCTCATTTCCAGTCTGGGTGTCCAGCCAGTACTTTGGGAGCGTTTGGCAGATAGTTCAGCTCCAGGCAAGCAGAATCTCAGCCGGTTTGGCTCAGAAGTCCTTCACCACATGGAATCACTTACTCTGCTTCGATTAATGGGCAAAGCTGCCCTTGGCATGCGCCCCCATACCCTTGTGACTGATGGCATGGTATGTGGGGGCTGGCTCTGTTCCCCTGAATAGAATTTATCTTGGTCTTTGCCCACACCGTTCCCTGACGGAATCATCTTCAAGTCACATCCTTCATCTTCTGGCTGCTCCCAATTCACCTTTTCCAGTCATGGTCTTCACTCGGGTAGGATCTCAGCACTTACATAAGACAAACAAGCCAAACTCTTCTGTTATTTCACCTGTTTGTCTATATCCCTCTCCCCGTCAAATCCCTGCCCAAGATACACACATAGCTCCATATGCTGTAGGATCTTTTCTTTTTTAATATATATTTTTTATTAATTTCAAAGAGGAAGGGCGAGGGAGAGAGATAGAAACATCAATGGTGAGAGAATCATTGATCGGCTGCCTCCTGCACGCCCCTTACTGAGGATGGAGCCCACAACCCAGTCATGTGTCCTGGAGCAGAATAGAACTCGGGACCCTCCAGTCCATAGGCCAAAGCTCTATCCACGGAGCCAAATGGGCAAGGGTTGCTGTAGGATCTTAATTTGTAGTGTGTGGAACTGAGAGTCAGAGAACCTGGCCCTCTTAAATGGTGGCTGGGTGATCTTGGATAAATTATTTAATATCTCTTAGGCCTCATCTGTTCCATTCATGCATATAACAAATATTTATTGATTGCTAACTAGATGCAGTGGTGAACAAGACAGATACTCAGTCCCTATCTTCACGGAACTCAAAGTCCACTTTACAGAGCATGTATGAGGATTAACGGTGAAATAAAGCAGATAGCACAATAGAGAATTGGCTTTGGAGGCAAACAAACCTTGGTTCTAAATCCTGGTTTGGCCCCTGTGGCCTGTTTTTTAGCTTGTTCACTTTTTTTTTTAAATTTTTTAATATATTTTTATTGATTTTTTACAGAGAGGAAAGGAGAAAGATAGAGAGCTAGAAATGTCGATGAGAGAGAAACATCGACAAGCTGCCTCTTGCACACCACCTACCGGGGATGTGCCCGCAAGCAAGGTACCTGACCTTGACCGGAATCGAACCCGGGACCTTTCAGTCCACAGACTGACGCTCTACCACCGAACCAAACCGGTTTCGGCTTGTTCACTTTTTATAAAATGAATACTACAATACCTGTCTTGATTAAATGAGATAATGGCCCTGGCTGGGTAGCTCAGTAGGTTAGAGCATCGTCCTGATACGCTAAGGTTTCAAGTTTGATTCCTGGTGAATGTAAGGTGTGAACACATAGCACCGAGTGATTGCTATTGTTCTGCATTTGGAAGTGCTTTAACGGTGCATATGATAGGTATGCTGGCATTACCTTTTCCCGCATGGAATATAGAGTTTCCTTCTAATGTTGGACAGCTGGAAATCTCTAAATTGGCATGACTTCCCTTGCTAGACAACTTCTGCATTGCTCTCTTCACACCTATTTTTTAAAAAATTATTGTTCTCCCTTTATATCACCGTATGGTTACATGATTGAAACTCTGCCCAGCTTTCTACTAGGTTGAACAAGTGAATCTTGTGTGGTATTTTCTATTTAGTTGTTTCTTTTCCTCAGAGTCCAGACAGCTTCTTAGCCTTTAAGTGACCATGGAGTTAAATTGATTCGTTGAATATTTCCAAATTTTGGAGTGTTGGATTAGACCCTCAATCAGTTTTCTGTGCTTGCTCTAATAAATTATCCCAAAATTGGTAGTTTAAAACAACAGAAATTTACTCCCTCACACTTCTGGAGACCAGAAGTCCAAAGCCAGTACCGGTGGGCCCAGATCAAGGTGTCAGCAGGTCGGGCTCCCTCTAGAGACACTCTCATGGACCATCTGCTTCTTTGTCTCTGCTAGCTGCTGGTGACTGCCAGCATTCCTTGGCTTGTGGCTGCATCACTGCCATCTCTGCCTCCATGCTCTCATTGCCTTTTCCTCTTCTGTGTTTCATCAAATATCCTTCCCTAAGGGCATTTGTTGTTGTATTTAGTGCCCACCCAGATAATCTCCCATCTTTTTTTTTTTAATAATAAATCTTTATTGTTCAGATTATTACAGGTGATCCTCTCTCCCCTCTCTTCCCCCATAGTTCCCCTCCACCTGATTCCCAACTTCACTCCATGCTCTTACCCCTGCCCCAGTCTTCATCCATAGGTATAAGGTTTTTTTTCCAATCTCTTCCCGCACCCTTCGGACCCCTTTCTCCCTGAGAATAGTTAGTTCAATCCCTTTCTATGTCCCTGATTCTATTATATTCACCAGTCCATTTTGTTCTTCAGATTTTTTTATTCACTTGATTTTTAATTCACTTGTTGGTAGGTATGTATTTGATGTCTTTTTGTTGTTCATAATTTTCACCTTTACCTTTTTTTTCTTCCTCTTCTTAAAGCATACCCTTCAGTATTTCATATAATCCTGGTTTTGTGTTGATGAACTCCTTTAGCTTTTTCTTATCTGTGAAGCTCTTTAACTGACCTTCAATTCTGAATGATAGCTTTGCTGGGAAGAGTAATCTTGGTTGTAGGTTCTTGTTGTTCATCATTTTGAATATTTCTTGCCACTCCCTTCTGGGTTGCATAGTTT